AGAATCAATGCAGCAGTTTTTTTTATTCCAACATCTTCACTCCCAACAAGGCTGCGAGCATCCACTATTAGAATTGGAGTGAAAGTTACTAAAAGATGAAGTTTATAAAGTGAATTGGCGATTAACAGACGATTTAAAAGATTGCAAATTATATGAATAAGGAAAACAAGACAAAAGGAGCGAATTCCAAAGAACTGACGTTCGAGGAAAAAAGCTAGACAAAAAGGATTTTTGATACATTTAGGAACAGTCACAGTTAAAGGATAAGACTTAATTGAATGAGAAATAACACAAGAATGAATTTTAGTAGATAGCACAAGAGAAGCTAGCTCTTTAGAGCATAATAGTGCTGTCCATTGACAACTTTTATGCTACGTAAAGCAACTTTTATTAGTAAAGAAGGATTAAAAAATCTTAAAGACGCTATCTAATACACTGTACAAATGTGTGCCAAACTTTATCAAAGGCTTTAGAAATATCAAGAGCGATTGCTTTAACCTCCTCATATCTATCTAATATATGATAAAACCTATGGGTTATTGTCGTTAACAAATCAGCAGTAGTAAGAAAAGATATAAATCCATATTGGTGTTCAGAAAATAAGATACTAGATTTAAGATAAGAGATTAAGTTTTGTTAACTAAAAATTTAAAAATATTATGGTTGTAAGAAAACTAATGGGACGGTAATTAGACGAGTCAGATTGCTCTCCAGAGTTTTGAAAATTAGGTATAACGTTTTCTAGCAGGCTGGAAAACAAGACTCTGATAAGTACGTGTAAAATAGTTTTGAAAGAATAGAAGACAGCTCCAGAAAACACTTCTGTAAGGCTATAGCAGTTGTCCGGACCACAAACTGTAGAAAAGTCTATATAAGTTGGAGTGATATGAATATCAAGAAATGAACCTCTTTCTTGGCTATTTCAGGTAGGATGTGATTAGTGGAATCAAGAAATAAGATTGATGAAAAGTTCTCAGCAAACAATTCAGCTTCGTTTTAAGATGAGGTAACAAAACTGAACCATGCAAGAGAGGTGAAATAAAAAATATTCAAATGGTTAAATTCTAAAAGCCGAGGCCAAGCATGTGACTATTGGAGTCTTTTCAATTTTAAGAAAGATAACAATCAACACTATGATTACAAGATGAAACAGTTGAACTCAAATTTGTCTCACTAAGAGCAAGTAGATCTGGTAAACTTTGTAAGAGGTAGAACTCAACAGATGAAAAGTCAAAGACAAATATTAGTGAATGATAGATTAAGAGATCATGGTGATGACGATGGTTTATTGTTTTTGGCACTTCAGTCATTTTTGGATTTGTTAAAAAACTTGACTCAAAGCACAGATAGTACTCAGTACATTATTTGACAGTCCAAGCAGTTTTCTCATGACCATTGATAAACCCTAAGCCGTAACAAAGAGCTTCAAATGTGGCCTCGAAAATACGCACCAAAAGTGTATATTTACACGATAAAACACCTTGCACAACATGGCACTGTTGGTACTCTGATACTCTACAGCTTTTGATGGAATCAGCCTCACTGAGAGCTACTACAAATAGCCTTATAATACAAACAGAGACAAATTCTGGATTTTTTTGACTCAATGCAAAACCCATGCATTGATTCAAAAAGATCCAGCATTCAACATCCTAAACTGGAAACAATGTAAAATAAATACATCTGTACCAGCCTAATAGATGCAAAAGTGGTTCGAAACTGGTCAACAGACAAATTCTGTTTACCTTTAAGTCTTTGCCTACTACTGCTGCTGCTGCTACTACTACTACTACTACTACTACTACTACTACTACTACTACTACTACTACTACTACTGCAAACAACTATTTCAATAATGTTAACATTCCTATATTGATGAATAGCAGCCCTCTCATCAAATCCTTTACTTTATGTCTTCTTGGATTATCAAAACAATTCTCCAGAAAACAGACGTCTGTTTATTACTGCTGGGAACCATTGTAAAAAGGTTTTGTCTAACGCCAAAGCCCGCTATTCTCAGATCATGAAATCTCTTATTTCATCACAAAAGTTAGGCTCTCATGACTTCTGGAGAATCTTTAATAGTATCAATAATAAGGGCAAGTCTGTAATTCCATCTCTTTTGTATGGTTCAGACTTCGTCACTTCACCTAAAGACTAAGCTGAATTGTTTGCTAAGAACTTTTCATCAATATCATCTCTTGACTCCACTAGTTGCATTCTACCCGATATAGCTGTCAAACAGGTTGATCCATTGCTCGACATCCATATCACTCCAGCTTCTGTATCTAAAGTGATTTCCTGCTTAGACTCTTCTACAGCTTCGGCCCAGACAACATACCTGTTATAGTCTTGCAGAAGTGTTGTCCGGAGCTGTCGTCTATCCATTCAAAACTGTTTAACAAGTGCTTATCAGAGTCTTGTTTTCCAGCCTGCCGGAAAGCAGCATCTGTTATCCCTATTTATAAAAATTTTGGAGAGCGATCCGATTCATCTAACTACCGCCCCATTAGTCTTCTTTCTATCATAAGCAAGGTTTTTGAATCTTTAATTAACAAACACTTAATCTCTCATCTTGAATCTTATAACCTATTTTCTGATCATCAATATGGATTTCGATTTTCTCGTTCTACGGCTGATTTGCTAACAGTAATAACGATAGGTTTTATCGTGCATTAGATAAAAGTGGAGAGGTTAAGGCCATTGCTCTTGACATTTCTAAAGCGTTTGATAAAGTTTGGCATGCTGGTCTTCTCCATAATCTTCCTTCTTACGGTGTATCTGGAAACATCTTTAAGATTATTGAATCCTTTCTTTCCAATCGTAGTATAAAAGTTGCCCTTGATGGACAGCACTCTTATTCTTATTCTGTAACCTCAGGGGTTCCTCAAGGTTCAATCTTTGGCTCTATACTCTTTTTAATTTACATTAACGATCCTCCAGATATTCTCACATCTAAGGTGGCATTGTTCGCTGATGATACTACCATTTACTCTTGTCTCGATGAGTCTCCTACCCTTCATCTTCTAGGATTAACTCTTACTTCTGGTTTTTCTTAGAAACCTTATATCAAATCCGTTGCAAAATTAGCATCTGCTAAAGTTGCTTCTTTTTATCGAGCTTGACACTTTCTTACTCTGGATTCTATTCTCTATCTCTATAAATCTCAAATCCGACCTTGTACGCAATACTGTTGCCATATCTGGGGCGGATCTACTAATGATGCCCTTTCTTTTTTAGACAAGGTGCAAAAACGCATTGTAAACATAGTTGGACCTGCTCTTGCAGCCAACCTTCAACCTCTGTCAATCGTCGTAATGTTGTTTCTCTTTCTCTTTTCTACAAATACTATAATGGGCACTGCTCTAAAGAGCTAGCGTCTCTTGTGCCATCTACTAAAATTCATTCTCGTGTTACTCGTCATTCAATTAAGTCTCATCCTTTTTTTTGTTACTGTTCCTAAAGTGCTCCAAAAACTCTTATTCGTCTAGTTTTTTTCCTCGAACATCAGTTCTTTGGAATTCGCTTCCTTCATTTTGCTTTCCTGATTCATATAATTTCCAATCTTTTAAGTCGTCTGTCAATCGTTATCTTGCTCTACAATCTTCATCTTTTTTCATCCAGTAACTTCCAACACTAATTAGTGGTTGCTTGCAGCCTTGTTGGAAGCGAAGATGTTAAAAAAAAAAAAAAAAAAAAAAAAATCATTCACTACTGACTTTTTATGGAAACTATATATACAATCGATTGCAAAGTGAGCCTCTGCTGAGTTTACTCCCCTTAATTGATATTACTTTCCACTTTCCTTTTATCTATCATCTCTAGTTTCATCAGTCAAAATTTATTCCTGCTTGACTCGTCATTTATATCTTTTTACTGTAATGTATCCCATCATGCTCTTTTTTCATATAGTTCATATAATTTAGTCATCAAACTTATTCATCTTTTTTTTTCTTGCACTTCAATGCTTTCTCTCCCATCATCATGTTTTACCTGCACTTCAATGCTTTCTCTCCCATCATCATGTTTTCCTGACTCATACAACCTTCAACTTTTTAAGTTCAACATTCAATTTTTCAAGTCAACCTATTTCCTTGTTTTTTAACTCCATTCTTTGTTTTCTAAACTCTCAACTTAATAGTGGTTAATTGTAGCCTTATTGGGAGTGAATCAGATTGAAAAAAAGAGTCTCTTTAGTTCTTTCCGATTGTTCTTTAAGATTAAATAAAATTCGCTTCTTTAGCAATCAAAAATGCTATGAAAAAGACTAAAAGAAAAATTGAATCGTAAAGAAAAATTACTTTACTAATCATTTTATTTTCATTAGTCAATTTCATTTTTATAAGTCATTCATTAGTCAATTTCATTTTTATAAGTCATTCATTAGTCATTTTCATTTTTATAATCTAAACAGGCTAAGTAAATTAAAAAACAAACAATCAACAACAAACAAACGCTTATTCAATAAAGCTACTATTATTACTACTTGTACCTGCTACTTATTATTAATTATAAAATTAAACAAAGAACTACAACTGCTCTCCTTGAACGCTAAGAAATATTTTTAGCATTATGGCTCGCTGATTATTTATTGGTTTCCCAGACATATCCCACTAAAAAAGCTCATATTTACCCCATACCAGCTAACCGCACGAATCCTTTATGTTACCCGTATGTAGTGTTCGGCTAGGAATTATTTAAGTAATATCTTTTTTTAAAAATCTGCCTCGATATCAATTAATAGTACTTTGTTTTTATTGCTTTCCCATGCGGGTTCCAGACCTATCCCACCAAAAAAACACCTTATGTATTCCATATAATCGGTATCCCATATAATCGGATCCCGGATATGTATCTCCTAGATATTCGTACGGTATGGGGTCGTCCATAAAGTATGTACGCTTTTTTTCTCTTTTTTTTATGGACGACCCCTATGTATATGTATTGGTTGGCTGGATATTGAGTGATTTGAAATGTATTATTTTTTTATCAAATTGTAGCTCAAAAGTCTGATCAATGTTTTGTAAGCTGCAATGCAACGGCAAGTTAATCTAATATTTACAAATGTTGTGAAGGTAAATATAAAAATAAAATTGTGAAAATATTTTTATGACGTATTTTTTTTTTTTTTTTTTTTTTTTTGTGACGTTTTGGATTTTCAGTTAGTTTTTTATATATATATATATATATAACAAGGTTGGCTTTTTTCATTTTTTTTCATTAAAAATAAAAATGTAGTTTAAAAAAATGTTTACATAATAATATATTTGTAAAACTTCAAATAATTAAATATACTTGTCAGATATAAATAGATATATATATTTTTAAAAGGATATATTTTTTTAAACAGATAATATGATGTAACTTGTAATAATAAAATTAAAGAAGTATTTTTGTAATAAATACTATTTTTTGTCATGTAAATTTTTAGTTATAAATAGATATAATATAAATATATATAATAAATTTAATATAAATATCTTCTTTTTTTTTTTATTCAACCATATCAAAAAAAATTTACAAATCTCATCGTAAATTAATAGAATTTGTTTAATGGTCACTCATATAGTTACAAACTAGTCAGTATATATATAATATATATATATATATATATATATATATATATATATATATATATATATATATATATATATATATATATATATATATATATATATATATATATATAATAACACGATAATAAATAAATATAATATAGATAAATGATAAATAAAGTAAAAATCACTCTTTAAAGAATAAAAAAGCTCGCTCTTTAAAGTATATATATATATATATATATATATATATATATATATATATGTGTGAAGACAACTACAGTACAGAGAGAAATTATAAAGAAATACACTCCAACAATATATTTTTAAATTGAATTCTGTTGAGCCGTAAATAATTCGTAACAATAGGATATTTTTTTTTAGACTTTTTTATTAATGCAGAAATACACTGGTGTCAATCAGAACCAGTGTATTCCAGTTTACCATATTTAATTGTGTTTAAAATAGAAGAGTATAGCTTACCATTTTCTCTATTGCTGGTGTGATGATTATGAATTTCATTTGTTTTAATAAAAAAAGTTTAAAAAAGAGTTTGGTAGTTTATTTTTAAGAAAGTAAACTACCAAACTCAAAGAAAACACAAAAAGACAATTGTAAAACTTTACAAGATCATGGAGTTTTAGGATTTTTAGTTCAGAATTTTTTTTTTGGATATCAGATCTCATTGGGGAAAACGTCATTATTCTAATAGATGCGCGTTGTAAACTAGCAATTCTATTAAGTAAAAAGTTACTTTTTTGACCCCAAACAATACAATAATAGCGAAGGTGAGAAGAGAATAAAGAAGAATAAATCATTCAAAGAATTTAGATAGGAACATAGTAACGAATTAGAGAAAGCATACTGTTAGCTCGTGTAAGTTTTTTTTTTTAAGATAATGCAGTTGATTATACTAAGATAAGTTTTCATCAAGATATATTCCAAGATACTTTATATATTTTGACGGGAAAAGTTTTTTTCCGTTAATTTTAATATTATCAATAGTTTTTTGAGGGGAAATAATGTATTCAGTTTTATTGATATTCAAAGATTACTATTTACGATTACTATTTAACCAGTTACATAAGCAATGAAGATCTTGATTAACTTTTTTACAAAGAGTCGTAAGTGGTTTATAAAAGATTGGTATCATCAAAGATTTAAAAAATTGATATATAAAAGATTGGTATCATCAGCATAATGATGTACCGTAGAATTTTTTAATGAAAAAGATAAATCATTTATATATAATAAAATCAATAACGGAACCTTGTGGAACGCCATATTTATTAACTTTATGTGTGGATTCAAATCCATCAATACACGATTTTTGAAATTCCTAAAAGTTGTAAAACCTACTAATCAAACTGTTTTTTTGAATAGATTTTATATTTTGATATGTTTTTGCAAACTGAAATGATTGTTTTGAAATAAAAACTGCTTAATACACTAACTATTTTGATTTATAATTTTTGCTTTAGTTTTAATAAGTAGTTATTGGTAAAATGGCATATCATTGCGTTGTGAAAAATTGTTCAAATGGACGCTATAGACTTATGAAATGGAAATATGAAATATGCACTGAACATAAATGTAGAAGAGAAGATATTGGATGTAATTGTGCATCGTCTTTTCATTTATTTCCTTTTCCAACTATCAAAAAATCTCCCTCCCAATGTGAAATTTGGATCAAACTAATTAACCGCTTAAACACTACTGGGACAAATGATTTTTTTCTGCCCAAAGAAAGATGCACGAGTTTGTTCTAATCATTTGAAAGATAAAGAACCTAATATAAAAAATCCTTATCCCACTGAGAACCTTGGATATGATTCTAGGCATAAAGTTGCTCTTTTGTGCCCTAGCTCTCGACCTCTAAATAGAAACAGTATAATAAATACTGACTCCACACAGCCTTTACTTAAAAAATACAAATCAAATATAAAGTCTAATACATACTTTAATACAATTTTTGATCAAAATCAAGACACCATTTCTGTTAAACAGTTATGTTCTAGTTCATCGTTAGTTAGTGTCAACTTCGCTACAAAAAAACCCTGTTGACTTTACGATTGAACCAGTACCAGTGGTAGTAGTAGATAAAGAAGAAAATAATATTAATTCACTTTTTAATCATAATGAGTTCACTCAAGCTCACGAATCAACTTTTTTAATAAGTAGCTTAAAAAAAACTATTGACAAATTACAAAAATTAAATCACAGTCAAAAATAATCTTTAAAAAAAAGTCTACAAAAAATCACTAACAAATGACAAGAAGTGTAACTTTTACACAAACATTCCATTCCTGAAAGTTTTTCACATTCTTCACAATCTTATAAAACCGATTGTACATCGTCGATATAATTACAAAACTGAAATGAAATGTTCTCCTAAAAAAAACCCTAATAGAATCACATAAAAAAAACTTGGAAGATGCAGAAAATTATGTTCACATGATGAGTTTGTACTTGTTCTTATGAAATTACGTCTCGGACTTTTAAGCAATGACCTAGTTGATAGATTTAGTGTTTATCTTGGCACTGTTTCAAAAATATTTAAATCGTGGATTAGAGGCATGTCACAGTATTTAAAATCATTCGTTTACTTTCCAGACAAAGAAAATGTTCGCTTGAACCATCGTTTTAAAAAAAATCAAAGTCTTAGGAATATTTGATTGCTCTGAAATTTTTATTGAAACACCAAAAGATTTAGAACTGCAATCTGCAACATGGTCTGAGTACAAGCACCACAATGCAATGAAGTTCCTTGTATCAGTTACATCTAGCTCTTTCATAAGTTTTGTTTCGGAAGCATATACTGGAATAAAGCAATACAAAATCTTACAAAATTCTCACGGCTGTTTCAGAAAGAGCTTTACGGCTTCTTATTTTTTTTGGAAAATATTTACTTTGGGGGTGTTACTAAAACATTTATAACTTTTGAAATATTTGAGATAATTTTGTTTTGTAAAAAGAATAAAAACAAAAATAAAATGTTTTGTCATACAATATTTAATACAATAGTAAAAAAACTTTCTTTAGTTTATAAAAAACGCGACAAATGATGAACTTGGCTAAATTTTAGTAATTTCTTGTTACTTTTTATCAACAAAAAATCAGAAAAATATATTTCTGATAGTTATTATCAGTTACACTCGTTGTTTGACTATTATTTAAATAAAAAACCTTACTTAATTGCTTAAAGTTAGCAAAAACAGTTACAATTGAAGTTTGCAAGCAAACCGCATTTTTTGCAAAATTATTAAAAATGTCGTTTAAAGAGGGATTATCTGTTAAATGAGTACGTTTTTAAATATGAAAAAAATTCACTAAGTTGATAAATTCAATGCATTACAAAATAAAGCCATGTCGATTTTGAAATATTTAGTCTTAACATTCTAAGCTAAAGCCTTTAAAAAACTTTAGCAATTTCTTTCTTTCTATGCATAGAATTTTAATAATATGGTGTTAAGTTGTTAAAAAATTAAGACTCACTAAGACTAATAAAATTCATGACCACAACTGTGTTAAAGTTTTTGAATTAACCTCGCTTTTGGTAATAGAATTATTTTATGGCACTTGACTTAATCTCTTTTCACAAAAAATAAACATTTGTTTAAATAAACAAATAGCTAATTTTATTTGTTTGATGTGTTTTTATTCTCATATAAAACTGTTTTATAATAAGTTGATCTACTGATTCTGTCCTTTAAGTAGAAAACGATCTTTGAACACCCAGTTGATATTAAATTCATGCTCCATTCTAAACCAGAAGATTAGTTTTTGGAAAATAGTTTTTGTTCAACAAGATTAGCAGATGGCTTTCAACAGACTCACAATAACTTTTACAAATTCTTTATTTAAACTGTATCTTTACACTAACTTGTTATTTATGAGACTTAAATTATATTCTTTAACCAGAAAGATGGTATGTTGAGGAGAGGAACTGCAGAGGTAGAACTAACTTCTGATGATAATAATTGAAAGGGCATCTATTATTTAAATTAAATGTTACATATAATAAAAGACAATACATTTTTTTAATTAACTACACAAACTAATATTTTATATCATAACCAACAAACTTACCAGTTGCTCTGCTCATAAGTTAAAGTAGTAAGCTTACACCCATTTGATGCAAGACTTTACACCCATTTGATGCAAGACTTATGTACCATTCCTTAACCTCGATGGTATTGCATAAGTATAATTAACTTGTGAAGATAAGAATGAAATGGGCACCTATCTAATATATAAAATTAATAATAAAAAATAATAAATATTTTAAAAACTTATTTTTAAATTATTTAGACTAAATTTTATGACCACAAACAAGACAAAGGCCTCGTCTATAAAACGAATTTTCACCACGCTCAGAACACACAACACACTTTCTCACCTTAGAGGCTTGAAGCTTCCTGTCAGCTTTGCTGTGCAATTCAAAGCGTTTTAAAACAAGACGCAGCTTCTGTTCCTGATTTCTTACTGAATGCAACTATCTTAATTCCTTATTTATTTATTTTTTATTTCTTTCAAAACGAAAGTATTTTGCATCACAACATACGAAAAAGAGTTCTTAACGGAAATAAAATTACGAAACGT